GCCATTCAGCCATCTCCGCAAAGTCGACAAACAAATGTCTCACGAAGTCTTCCCGTCTCCAAACCGACTCCAACCGCATGTGCTCGACAAAAAAGTAAAACTCGCAAGTAGTGTCGATATTCAATAGACAATAGACTCTGGAGGATCTTTCACGCGTTGATTCTTCAAAGCTTGTTATAAATCCGACGACTGAATGCTGTTCGAGAGAATTCGAACGGAGTGCTGCTAAACTTTTGAAATACTCGGACTCGCCGTATTGGTCGTTGTACCGGTTTTGGGTGAGGCACTTTTGCTTGTTGTGCATGTCTGCGAGTCGCTGATAAACCGTCCGGTGGTTGTTTAAGATGTTCTCCCGTCTAGCTACTGTTCGCCTTTTGTCAATCGATTTCAGATATTCTACAAACATATAAACGAGCCATATCGGCCCCATGAGGTCGGTCTTGCCTAAATTGTACAGAACGTTCAGCGTGCTAATGCAATTTTGATTTAGATACACTACGGCGTGGTCGTCGCTTTCCATAAGTCCGGTCAATTCCGGTTGGTTGTTTTCCGAAAAAAGCTGCCCCAGCAAATTCATATAATAAAGCATGTCGAACGTATAACTACACAACAGTTGATGGTATAGTTCGTCTATGGCTTGCCGTAGCTTAGCCGGGTTTTCGGTCTCTTCCTCTGCTGACACTTTTGGTCTCATTTCTACAGAGTGTCCTGTATCGATTCCAATCAACCGACTATAATGTTCAAACGAATAATCATCCACGAACTTTTTCCGTCTACATCCAGGCGTAGCGCACTCGCATTGCAACGTAATAATTGTTGAAATAGTCAAGAACAGCCATACTCGACGTGGAAACATATTTCCAACTGCAAAAATATCCCAAATACAATGTACTATGTATTTTGAACTATTTTTCAACGGTAATATTTTCACTTAAGCCGAACGCGACTCCAATTGGGTTACGATGTTTTCCAATAGTGCTTTAGCTAGATCTTGTTTGGTTTTTAACGTAAGCTGCTATTCATATTTTATTGTAAACATTTGATAAAACATGTTTTCGCACCTGCAAGTTCACGCTTAAAATGTACCGAGACGATCGCGAAACATATTGGTATTCTATGCCTTTACGTTAGTTAGAGTAAAATTTTTATAAACATTTTTTTTTGGAAATGTCATAATATTTTAAACAAAGTTTCAAAGACAACGAAACAAGTGGAGCGAGACAATCGACTAAAATGCAACTTGGAAGTAATGTAATATAATGTGTAAAAGTAATAATAAATGTTTACTTTTTCTCATAATCCACACTGTAATGTAAGACTCTGTAGTATAAATGACGAAATTTGGGACATTTTAATGAAAGCCTTTTAGAGAAAGATATTTGCGCGCCAACCGGAATACCCCGACTGTTATATAATATTAATTTGTATGCAAATTAATTCCGTTTATTGAATATCAAAAGTAATTAAACGAATTCGGATAACACTATAATTGCTATGTCAATGCCAAATGGGATATTACAAAATACATAATGAATTTCCGTGATTTAAAGAAGAAAAAAAAATATTTTATTGCCTTTTATTTTTAAACGTATCTTGTACACCAAACATGCATTTTAGCTTCAATACGGAACTGAGAAGGTATTGTACTTACAATAATGTGTTTTAATTTTTAATTTTTTTTTTATACCCACGACATCTTTAAAACCGCTGAACCGATTTCTCCGTGTAGCAACTCTATAGATCAGCAACCGTGCCTAAAAAGTTTTTTATTGGCCATTGGGCCAACAGTTAGAACAATTCTCCCCTTCCTCTTGAAAATCGAGAAAAACAACCAAAAAAATTACATATTTTTAACTTAAAAATACAATGCTCTATAACTTTTTTTAAAAATAGTCAATTTAGTTGAAAACTATGGCTATATATTTTTATAGACAGACGATCAACCCTAATTGTATCCACCCTAGTATTAAAAATTAATTTTCTAGAACACAATTGTCATTGGGTACAGTGCTTTTGTCGATATTTGTGTTTTTATCTGTGAACACTGAACTTCCTTACTTACTCACATACTACTACTACTCACTTAGGTATAATACTTTCTTACTGTGCTTGCTTGGACTGTACTGGTTACTGGTGGAACCTGCTATCTACAGTTTCTCATCGAAACGTTTATTTTAAAGTGAGTTTATCATTTTCAGTAACAACAATTCGTGCAGACCCGTGACCTCCCCGTCTCCACTATGACCCGACCCCACTGTACTCACTTTGTTTTTTATTTTCGCTGGGAATAATTATGTAGGGTTTGATAATGTATTATAATATCCCGTCGGTTGAAATATTCGCCGTGACAATTTTTATCATTTTTTTTTTCGCTCTACAAAATAAAAAACATAAATACCGTTTGGTCAATAGTAATAAAACTAGCAAATGGGCTATGGGGAAAAAAACAATATTCGTGTCAATAATAAAATAATACCGTTTCAATTGGCCGATTGGGGTACATTGTTTCCAAACCGTTCAAATATCTATTATTTCAAATGTTGCTGGTGCTGGTGCTAGACAATAAACGCCAGTGGAATATCATTATATCGTCTAAGGGGCAATAAAATCAAATAGCCATAAAGATTGGAAGGGGAGAAATGGCGAAACAAAAAAGTGGCGGGGGGAAGTGTCTATTACAGGTCGGTAGCAGCGTGGAGGGAATAAGTTATCATAAAAACACAATAAAAACAAGAGCACCTGAAAACCAAATGGACCGAAACGGACGATTGCGTTGGCTATAGCTAATTTTTCGAGTAATAAAACGAGTGCACCGTATTGAAAAAGGTTACCTACTCCATTTACAATATTAACTTTGCAAAACAGTACAATAACCACGTATATTATAATATATTATGGTTATTGTTATGGATATTCGGTGAAAATTGTATAGTTTTCAAATGGATAGTAGGCTGTGCCGGCTACACAAATTGCTATACATTTTCCAAATTACTTTCAGATTCTAATACTACTTTTGAGTGCTCCAAAAAAAAAATGTTTTCTACAGTTTTCCATTTTAAAAAAAAAAACATTTTACATTAGGTATTGATCTCGTTTTATATTTTTCGTAACTTCATCAACTCGTATAATACATAAATGGTAGCGTACAAAGTGTCCCATGAGGATATTATGACCTTTTTTTTTGTATCTCCTTGAGAAGATAAAATATTTCAATTCTGTTTTTGGAAGTTTTTCGATTAACTAGACCAAAAATAATTGTATTTTCAGATCATAAGCAACAACACTTACAACTGTCATTAATAACTGGTCGTGCAAGGAAAAAACACCTCCCTAAGTATTAAAGGTTAAATTTTAAAACCGATACCAAATGGGAAATTCTACTTAATGAGGACCTTAACAAATGTAGAGTTTAGGAGATATGAAGGCCCTAGACAGATGCCTCGTTCAATATACTTTTCAGCCGACTCTGATCTCAGGTACTGTACTATGTAAAGCTGTAGTAAGTTTGATATTGTGTGTAAAAATATTTACTGCAAGACTCGGCATGTAAAAGCATTTAGTACTCGGATGAAATGGGACCTCTTTGTAGTTGTCGCTTTAAATTATTCTAGTGTCCCGGCACAATGTCTGAGATATTTAGATAGAGTTATTAGCGTTAGCTGGGTTGGAAACGGGCAGATTTTCTACGCGGTCTTGCCAATGACAGGTACTAATGGCCTGGACTATATTGTAAACCTCGGCTAAAAACAAATGCACCGTTTACAAAATCTACATGGTCATCGGATTCTATAAAATGACACTTAACGCTAACCATAAATAACAAATCATCTCCGGAAATTAAAAATTATTATGCACTTTAACCTATTTATAAAATATTTGTTTTTACAAACCGGTACTAATTGTCCATATCTAGTTTTCAATAGGCCACCTTTGACAGTGTAAGTAATCAGATAACCAGCGTCTCATCTGATAGGGTTGGAGGGACCGATCCTTAGACCAACCCTTTACATGCATAAAGAAGGTAACATTTACACAGACATGGCATTAATACCATTGCACAAACTTGGGTATTTTTTTTTAACAAAATAATAATAAAATATGTATTGATTGTTAGCAAAACAATAGCTACAATGCACAATGGATTCTTTTTATATTTTAAAGAATTTCTGTTCGATAAAAAAAGGTTCAATAAAACGCAAAACTACCTAAATTAAAATACTGAAGATAAGTAATAAAACATGCTAAACCCATAAAAACTGCAAATAAAATTTATGTTTGCACGCAACACATGATTGGTGTGAAATTGACTAACCACAACGCCGTCACATTATATTTTTTGTACGGTGTAATATCGTTATTTTTTTTAAATATTTGTTTAAACACAAATGTTTTTTTATAACATTTCTATAAAATTATAACACAGTTTTAATGATAAAGAGTTCTTTATAGAAACATATCTTTGTTGCCAGTATTTAATTTGATTGAAAAGTGTGTTTTGCAATATCAACAAATATTATAAAAGATATTGTACATTATTTTTCAAATATATTTTTGCCACACAACTCAAATACAACATATGTTTATTACTCTTGGTAAGAAATTGAACTATCAATTATCCACGTGTTATGTTATATGTTAAGTGTGAGCATTATAATTAATAGAAATATATACACTACTATAAACTATTTTTTTCTTTTTTGAATACTATAAATGTAAAATTGTTTTGACATTTTATATCGCCAATCGAGGGAGAAATTGCATTGGGTTTTCTCAATAATATTACTATTTAGTTAACCGTTACTATAAGTGCAAGAATCCAAAAATAATAGTAATAAATTGCATCTGCCAACTAAAATGTTTATTAACCTGTTGTTATTGTCGTTCTTACCTGAATTTACACAAAGAAATCATTGAGACCGATAATTGTAGTGTGTAATCATTTTTCTAATAAAAACAGGCGTTTGATTCTAGCTAAATAATGGTCATTATATTGTACTTACGGTGATAATCCGGTTTTTAAACGACAGTATGAGATTCGGTGAAAACTCTTCAATTACACACGACTTCAAAATTGGCTGAAATCTTCCATCGCCGTTCCCCTCTAAATGGAGGAAAAAAACACAAAACACACAATTATTACAAAAGCCTATGTATAATATCGCTAAGCTATATGGGTAAAGCTATGTGAGTTGATTGCTTTAAAGTATTTATTATTATGACGGATCGTTTGCTTAAATTTCCGACAATGATTTTCTTCCATCTACTATAGTAATAATTTTACGGTCAGTCGTTTTTCGTTATTGTTCAACTGCCAGCCATTTTTTCTGATTAACTCTAAGAAGTTATTACCACTGCGGCCCGTCGGAGTGGTGTATAATCCGTCTATCTAGTCGTATTACTTTTAGTTTTAATTCGGAATCGAACCGTAATGGATTTATAATGATATAGTTAGTTTATATAGGCCCGATGACCCTTCTGCAACAATAATTGTTTCCTGGAATTCCATTTATTAGAGTTACATATATCCAACAGAATAAGCTGTGGCCGGTTGACATTATATAAAAGAAGGGATTAAAAGAAACACAATTTCCTACTCTTCAAGGAGAAATATACCTAAGAGTAATAATTTTTTTTTTAAATCTTAATTTAATGGAAAAAATTCTGACGTGTAATTATTAGTTAATTATTAGTTCAGTAATTATTATTTTATAGTTATTTTTTAATTATTTTTTTTAAAGTTAATTTATTTTTCAGACTATCAAAGTAGCCTCGACAGCGTTTAAAAAAAAATCTCATCTAAACATGTTCACACAAAACAGAAAATGCTACCATTCAAAGTGACAAAATAAAAGATAGATGAAAAGATTTCCAAAGGAAACCTCGTTTGCGTGATACATTATCTACAATGCATAAGTCAATATGATTATTGCGAACATACGTTTTTTAAACCTTTGTAACTTTTGACTGATCCGGGTTTCCTCGGAAATCCTGTTCCCTATCTTTAAGATTTTGATCTTACTGAATAGTGAATTAATTAAGTAAACGAGTAAGCAGCAGGACAGATTTTGATCTTGCTGAAAATTGTTTGACAAATGTTGAGGTCACCCATGGCGAAATACTTATTCATGTCAAAAGCTTATTAAAGAACCGTCAAATTTGTTTCTATTTCTTTTAATGGCTGTTAATTTATAAAAATGACCAAAGTACATTCAATTTTATGACAGGATTATTCAAACTCATAATAATACTCATTGACAATGTATCAAAACCGTTTTTGGAACGCCCGCGGTTAATGCATAGACATTAACAAAAGTATAATATTGAGATTTATATTATATCACAATAGCGGAAAATTCATTGAGGTTCATTCGATTAGACAGCCACACCATTAGACATTAGACATTACACCACCTATAAATATAAATATGTTTTTGACATTTTTTCCACATGAGTATTTTGTTTTTAAGGGTTTACTAACTAAATATCTCGAAACAACGGGTAGATTAAGATAAGTTTACAGACTTCAATTTATAGATTCAATACTTTTTTTTTTTTTATTGGTACTGATTTTATTAATTTTCTTAGAAAAGAGTTTAGAGCGTACAGTAGAAATAGGTCAGTGCAAGACAATCGCTGTTTTAATAACATTAGAGATATTGTAAACCGTCTTTTGCAAAAAACTATATCAGACCACAATCAAGTTACGAAGCTAACCGGGTAATCTCGATGAAGTTGTTAAAAACTCAAAGACAAGACAACGTCAGCGTTGTTTTCAATGGCTCTGATAAGCCGCAAGAGGTTCACATAACGTGCGTCCTCCGTTTCTGTCTACAATATGATACGGTCATGCCATTTCAGAGAATTGGCAATAAGATTTCACAACACTATCCTTATCGTTTGACAATGACGATGATGGTAAGTATAATTATTATTCTGTACCGATTTTATTTAGTTACCAGCCAATTTTATGGGCCGTAAAATACAATGACCTCAAACGAAACATGTTAAATGATAAAGTGCGATCGTGCATTTTATAATGTCAAACTTGGTAATAATCATTTTGCAGCCTATATGTATATCGTTTCGCATCCGAAACAGTATGAATATAGGTTGTGTGTAAAAAACCCAATAAATAAATAAATCAGAGAGTACACAGATGTGTAAAACAATGATTCCACGACTTGTCACTCGAGCAATGTGAATGTTATTTTTATGAACGTCAGTGTCGCATTGTAGTTCCGCATTGTTGTCTACGTGTAAATAAAGTACCCTTACGGACATGACAGCAGCTGTGGCAAATGAGAAAAATATATATATATCTATATATTAAGTACCTAGAAAATTATTTTTGCTCGCAGCGCGGACGTTTTTATGTAATGACAATGTAATTAAATTAGTCTGCTCTCGGCGGGAGAAAATAAAACAAAAGAACATGACACACTATTTTCTAAGTTGTTTTCGCTGTATGTATACTGGATACATAAATTCTAGTTTCCCCAAAAAAAATGAGTACACCCTAAACGTTTTTCGCGTTAAATTTAAATTATCTAAAAGGTTTTCAATGCGACGCGAATAGGACGAATGAATACATACAGTTGCTACAATGTCATGACACTTTATGTTATAAAGTAAACGAGTGGAAGTTTAAAGTTTTTTTCTATTTAAATTGTTTCCTACTCGATAAAACTTGCAAACTTGTACGTAGGTGAATGTGTTTTAATTTGCTTAGCGCCTATCCACCATCATTTTCCTTAGGATCAATACTACTTGGAATTTTTAACTTGGACGGTTTCAACGGCTTTGTGCAGCTGTGTTGTGTATAAAAATACTAAAATAACGTTGTTGTCAAATACCGTTGTATTTCTTATGTCGTATGTCAAAAAATAATATATTATATTTAATAAAACCTAAGGGACAATGACAATATACTCTGAATAAAGGATCTTATATTTTATTACTAGAAATAATGTCAAATTTTAATATGTTATGACACACAATGTACCTACATATTATTTAATCTTTAAATTAAAATATAACAACAAAAACGACGGATTTTATACTTGAACAGTATGAAAGAAAAACATTTAAAAATCTAGAAAAGATAATCGCTTAAAAATAATAAATAACCGTAAAAATTAGTATATTTTATAATGTTAATACCTGCTAGTTCAATATCAAACGAAAAGTGTAAACAAATATCATAAATTATCTCTATCAAAGTTCCTCCACTGGGAAACCACTTCACTCTATCAATCTAACCTTTGTAAATTTGCTTATTATTTTTGCTTATTGTAACAGATTGCATAAATAAAAATTTAAATCGATTTAAAAAAATAGTAATAATGATAATAACAATTTTAAAGATCCCACCTAACTAGACATTTATCAGCATTTCAAATACAAATTTTGACCTTTTAGTATTGCCATATTTAAATAAAAATAATCTACTTGACTTTTTATGGGCTACCGGATCTTTCAAACCTACCTCGACGAGTAGATTATTTAGATTGTTTTCATTTAAATAACATTTGAAAGGTCTAACGTTTAAAGAATATAGTGGATTTTTACGTTTAATAGATTACTTGACCCGAGGGCCCTTTAACTACATGATGATAAAAAATATATCTTAAATTTGTAAATAAAGTTATATTGTACAACGACTAATGTTTTGAAAATATTTAAACAAATAAATAAACTAAGTATATTATTACTTTCATTAGCCACAATACGTTTATATACTGTTATCTAACATCGGACTATCTTCTGACATGGAATTAATTTTCATTTACTCCCTTTATAACTGACTTTCGGATTATATCATCAATCAAGTCATTCCTTGATTTTGTAGAGATGGGCTTTACTGTTTAAGACAAATCAAACAATGTTTTCCTAGAAAATCTCAATAAATAAGTAATTAAAAACAAAAAGTAGTCAGCCACATGGGGTTTTAGGCGGTTGTGTTAAAAAAAAAAATCAATAGTAGAACGGAAATCCGTCGTCCAATTCCAACATAACTTTATATGTGTACCTGGCGAACCGTTTTTGTAACCCGTCCAAATCGAAATTGGATTCCCAAACCGTATACCGAGAGCAGTTACATCGAGCCGATGGTTGTATTTTACCCTAATGTGTATCGCGCCATGTTATTGGATACAAGAACAAACCTTGGCACAGAGGACCGACCCATTGACCTGCTACGCATTTTATTTTACAAATTCTGGATGAACCGTCTTCCGACGATGACGCCATCGACGCTACGCCGTTTTTTGGCAAAGGCGAAGGCAAACGAGCGGAGAACTTCACTTCGGACAGCGCTGAGAAGTCTGCCGATATGCCGGATCGAGGTGCCACAACAGTGCCGTTCAGCGTGAGACCAGGAGACGGACATTTCACTGCAACAGAAAAATATTATACAATAATTCTATGTAATATAATTCTACTTGCTATTTGGTTTCAATTAGTATCCAAATAGTATAAAACATGCAAATTCATTTTCTTCTCCTACTCGTGTACCATATCATCCGGTGTTTCCAAAAAAAAAAAATCTCACCTTTCTCCATTGCTTAATATTTTTTTTCCAATTATATCAACTATGTTCTACGCCTTACAAAATTATAGTATTTTGATGATGACTGCAAATTAATTGGTACGATTAAATCTATAGTAGACGCGAGGTTAATTCAATTAGATGAAATAAATTAATTTAACCCCGTCAAAAGGTACATAATTAAATCCCTTTCCACCGTTCACAGATTCCAATAATTTTATCTTATAACATTTATAGCTTCGATGCTTAGCTGAGATAGTATTGATTTTACAATGGCGTACAATTATTTTTATTTTGTTTGTGTCAGGATCTACTATATTTTCTAAAGGGATACATATATGTGTGTGTATACATAAACCGTATCGTTATAACTGTTTAGTGAAAGCATTTGCACAATATCATGATAGAAGCAAATATATGAAAATAAGATAGAATAACACTCGTCCCTTTTTTGTAATTCCTATTAACGTAAGTGCAAAATTTACATCGCTCTAAGTAATTAATGTATTCGCAGTGTCTCCAAATGGTTGGCCGTTAGTGTAGTTGACGATGGAAAAAAAAACCAGTAGGGCAAATTTAACAGTAATTTTACTCTTTGTGAGATGGTCCTTTGAATATGTTGAGGTATAGCTCTTAGTAATAAATTTGATTTCGAGCTCTGCTCTTTGACACGAGTCTGTTTATGCAGAATTATTATATGCAAAACGTGATTGAACTTACTGTGCTAGCATTTGAATATCCTTTTTTTTTGCATTACTATACAATTAATACATACATATCATAGATGTAAAACTTGTTCGGCTCTTCTTAACATTTCTCTGATGTCTACAAGTCAAGAATTTGAAAACAGCGCTGTGTAATCGGTATTGTCGGTACAGTACACAAGACTGAACCATTATAACTAAAAGAATATCTGCATAAATAGTTTTTGCAAAAGTCAAGATGAGTTGGACGAGTTATACCATTTTTTTTACTTCACGAACACAAACTACGAAAACTATAACCATTCAAAATTCCACTTGTGCAGTTTTTGCACGGGTTTGAAATATTTTTAAGATTACGGTTTGATAGTTCAGTTGGGGTTTTTTTTTAATACAGTTTATTCGGTTTTTAATCGCATACATAATAAACTAGTGGCTAATTGGAAATTATAGTTCGCTTGGACAACATTAATTCCGTGTAGTCGTTTTGACAGTAAAAATATTAAATAAATGAGTTTTCCGGCGTTTAATCCTCAATATTACGTACCATGGGAATACTAGCTTAATCCCATAATTTTAACTTCCCGCCTACGCCGAAAAAAAACAAATATAATATTTAAATATATTATTGTTCGGGACAGCGCTTGTCATTTTCATTTTTTTATCATTCAACAAAAAAAGTATTATAAATTAATTCGCAGTTACTAAAAAAGTACACAGAGCTATCAGTTTCATTAATTAACCCTACCCGTCGCTAAATTAAACATTTGAATTTTCAACAGAAAATTTGTTTGATGGAAACAAAGTATGTACTACATAGAAATTGCGTATAAAATAGTATATAGAAATTGTATAAAAAATTAAATTATTTTGAATATATAAATACAAATATTAGTGATATAGTTTATTTAGTCGTTGAATAAATTATAGTACATAATAAAGAAAATGTAATTGTCAAAAAAAAAAATTAAAATTGATATGGACTCTTGAAATTGAAATTGAAATGGACTCGATAATTTTTTTTTGTAAAGATGTTAAAACTAAAATAAAAAAACAGTTTTATCTGACGAAAAAAAACATAACATGAAATTCTCAAAGTATACTATAATAACGGGTTTTATTTAACCTTTCGATAAAAACGCATAAAAACTTTATACAACTTTTGTTACATTTTAAGGTTCCGGGGGTTAAAAAACTAGGTACCTTTGAAATGATGTCCAAAATATTTGCATTTATATGAAAGGCTAGTAAAAATATTTTTAGCTTTTTTGAAAGAGTAATTCATTGCCAAAATCGGTATGGATTCTATAAGTTTGGGTAAAAGTATAAAAACCGGAAGCTACATCATTAGTCAATAGTTACATAATAATATATTAAAACCGCCCTCATATAGGATATTATATGTACCTACATAATATAATATGATATTATACATGTACTATCTATAGCTATAGGGAACTTCTCAGGGTAAAATATATTCTACTCTATATAATACCTTATAATATTTTATTTTTAGAATCTTACATCATTCTTTATGTTATAAGTGATCACTTCGTGAATTTCCTGCTAGACTTTTTCAATAGGCCTTGTACGCTTTTTGGAGTATACAAAAAATTACTTTCAATTCAAGGCGCGATCGATACTTAACCAATTATTAATTATTGTCATATAAATATATAGGTTTCTTTCTGCAAGAGGCTGCACTGAAAATTGGAACCCTTGTGGAATCAATGTTTTGATGTAACAGATCCTTTATTAATATTACTCTTTTACGCACTATACCGATTTTGATGAAAGAAAAACTAAAAATAAAATCTGTGCCTTCCCGGTACTGTTCTTAGCTAATTATAATATTATCGTGATAATAAACGAGTTCCACAAATGCTAAAAAACTATAGGGCCCAGGGAAGTAACATTTTTTTTTGCAAATTACTGTGTATACATATTTTTGTTGGAAATTTTGTTGGCCGAGTAAAATAAATTGCTAGACGGTTTAATTCGTGAATAGCGACGTTCCTGCCATGTCGCGTGTATTGTGACGGTCTTCTGTCTTGACATCAACAATGCCATCGCCGAAGGTACAATGATGAACACCGAACGGCAGCTATGCAAGGGTGATATTTGACTGAACATAATGTCTTGCCGTTGTCATCAGCCGAACGGAATGAAACTCGACGTGAATATTTTATTATAATTGTCATTTATTTTTTATAAGTCGTTATCTATGCAAGGTTTATCTTCACCGTTCGTGATTTTTAAATGCACCGCACCAAACGGTGGATGGCAGATAAACTCGCAAAGTTCCCACGTCGTTTTATGCATATTGTTTAATTAAAAAGTAAAAAGTTTAATTAAATTCAACTGCGGGGTCGAGCACGTCCACGTACTTCCTATACCGTCGGTGCTATAAGCCGCGACTTCCCCTTTTTGGTCCGTGTCACCGTAAACGTCTATAAATGAGATATTATTCATTATTATTGTCTTTTTTTTGTATTATTATAACAATTTAAACTTCAAACGATATTAGCCTACTTTTGCCTTATGCTAATTTTAGATTTCATAGTTTGAAGATAATTGTTGTTCGATTTTTAACGTTTTTACTATTTTCGTAATAGTTTATTTTAGGGAAAACAATTTAAATTACTTTAGAGCGCTCTTCGTTGAAGTAGTGAATTTGGGTTCCTATCCGAAATACCATACAAGCGTCAGTATTTTTTGGTCGGCCGAACACGATATGTTTGATTGGAAGGTTGTTTCTGCATGAGTTTGGATGGGTATGTCATGTTCTCGCTCCAGTGATTATTATTTGCTTTCTTCTTTTAATATCAAGGTGATATTTAAATTTTTTTTGACAGCCCTGAACTTGTTTGAGATGGGTATGTTATTCAAATTGTTTGCCAGGCTACCATTATTTTGTTTTTAACGAGTTAACTGACTTTTAATTTTTCAAAATACCTCTTTAATAACTTTGTGAGTTAAATTTAATACTCAAGTCAATAATAGCCAATAACAAGCATCATGGCGAGTATCAAATTTGACTCGCAACGACAATCAGGAATGTTTTTTTAATTGTTCACATTACGAGATACTAGATATCAAAGTAAGGTGAGAGTTTAATAAGATGCACAAAGCAGTCAACTTGTTTTTGTCTTGATCGCCTCTGTTGTTGTAGCTGGTTTTTTTTATTATGGTAGCTTGGGACAGGGTAGGTTCTTAGATCTATTTTTTCATTCCTGAGTTTACCAATGTACGATTATTGATATAATTTCTGGGATATGTTGCAATTAATTAATTAATCGTTTCAACCTAGATACTAAAACTCCCCGGATGGGTGTGCAGAGATGAAAATGATAAGTGTATTCATTAAAAAAAAAATAGAAGTTCATCGGATTCACTCCGATCAGGGTTGAAATCGATCGACTAGTATAAACTTATTAAAAAACAATTGTGCGTACCAAACCGTTTTGAACGTTAATTGTATAAATCAATAGTGTGTAATAGATAACCAATAGTCTGAATAACTGTGGTTTTTGATCCATAAAAAAAAAAAATCACAAGTTGGGGAACTTTGGAAAGTCAAGCGGCAATCACAACAATAATATTTTGCGCGATAGAATATACAACTGAAAACATCCGTCTAAAAGTCCAATGGAACAATATTATGACTAATATCAAACGCCGTTGACGTATTTCTTAAAGCAACCTAATTAAAATATCATAAATCTTACTCGATGTTGTTGTCAATTTTTCATGGTCATATTATCGCGAGTCCCACGCGGCTCGGATGAAATCAGACTCGAGGAAAACAACAAAGCCTTTGGTAAATACCATCGCTATTATGGCGCAGTATAATAATTATTACAATACAGACGGTGAGACGGTTTTCCTTGCTGTCTCCTCTCGGTCAGTGATCGATTTTTTACGGGCCTACTCGCCTCGACAACACCGGCGACAGATATAATGATATAAGCACACCGCCTTGGGGCATAACGTTTTGTGTGTGTTAAAAGTTAAAAGCACCGGAACACGAGGGAGGAAGCCTATCACTTACAAACCTCTCTTCCCCGAAGGGTAGCCAAAAGGGGTTGAAACAAAGCGACGGCTGCTGTATTTTCGCGGCGTTTAATGAATTCCTAAAGGAAGC